GTCCCCGCTTGCCCCTCCTCCCACTCTTCCTGCTCCTCGCCGCGGTCTGCTCTGACCACGCGGCCGTGCTCGCCGCCGCTGAGGAGTTCACCTACAACGGCTTCGGCGGCGCCAACCTCTCGCTCGACGGCATGTCCGTGGTGGCACCGAACGGCCTCCTGGTGCTCAGCAACGGCACCAGCCAGATGGCCGGGCACGCGTTCCACCCCTCGCCGGTCCGCCTGCGGGACGGCCCCGGCGGCGCCGTCAGGTCCTTCTCGGCGGCGTTCGTCTTCGCCATCGTCTCCAACTTCACCGTGCTCAGCGACAACGGCATGGCGTTCGTGGTCGCGCCCAGCACCAGGCTCTCCACCTTCAACGCGGGGCAGTACCTGGGCATCCTCAACGTCACCGACAACGGCAACGACGGCAACCGCGTCCTGTTCGTCGAGCTCGACACCATGCTCAACCCGGAGTTCCAGGACATGAACAGCAACCACCTCGGCGTCAACGTCAACAGCATGAGGTCGCTGCAGAACCACAGCGCCGGCTACTACGACGATGCCACGGGTGTGTTCAACAACCTCAGCCTCATCAGCCGCCAGCCCATGCAGGTCTGGGTCGACTACGACGGCGCCACCACGCGGCTCGACGTCACGATGGCGCCCGTCGACGTGCCCAAGCCCAGGAAGCCGCTCATCTCCGCGCCGGTCAACCTCTCGGCGGTCGGGACGACGGACGACACCGCCTACGTCGGCTTCTCGGCAGCCACGGGCGTCATCTACACGCGCCACTACGTTCTGGGCTGGAGCTTCGCCACGGACGGCGCGGCCCCGCCGCTGGACATCTCGAAGCTCCCGGCGCTGCCGCGGTTCGGGCCCAAGCCCCGGTCCAAGGTGCTGGAGATCGTGCTCCCGATCGCCACCGCGGCGTTCGTCCTCGCGCTTGTCGTCGGCGCCTTCCTGTTCGTGCGAAGGCGGGTGAGGTACGCCGAGGTGCGCGAGGACTGGGAGGTGGAGTTCGGCCCCCACCGCTTCTCGTACAAGGAGCTCTACCACGCCACCAAGGGCTTCAAGAACAAGATGCTGCTCGGCACCGGCGGGTTCGGGAGGGTGTACAAGGGCGTGCTCCCAAAATCCAAACTTGAGATCGCCGTGAAGAGGGTGTCGCACGACTCGAAGCAGGGGATGAAGGAGTTCATCGCGGAGGTGGTCAGCATCGGCCACCTCCGTCACCGGAACCTCGTGCAGCTGCTGGGCTACTGCCGGCGGAAGGGCGAGCTGCTGCTGGTGTACGACTACATGTCCAACGGCAGCCTGGACAAGTACCTGCACGACAAGACCAGGCCCGTCCTGGACTGGGAGCAGAGGTTCCACATCATCAAGGGCGTCGCCTGCGGCCTGCTGTACCTCCACGAGGACTGGGAGAAGATCGTCATCCACCGGGACATCAAGGCCAGCAACGTGCTCCTCGACGGCGACATGAACGGCCGGCTGGGCGACTTTGGGCTGGCGAGGCTGTACGACCACGGCGTGGACCCGCAGACGACGCACGTGGTGGGCACCATGGGGTACCTCGCCCCGGAGCTGGTGCGCACGGGGAAGGCGACCCCGGTGACGGACGTGTTCGCCTTCGGCGTGTTCGTGCTGGAGGTGGCCTGCGGCCGCCGCCCGCTCGGGTGCATCGCGCCCGACGAGCAGAGCGTGCTGCTGGACTGGGTGCAGGAGCACGACCGCAAGGGGGCCGCCCTCGACACGGTGGACGCGCGGCTGTGCGGCAAGTACGACGCCGACGAGGCCCGGCTGGTGATCAGGCTGGGGCTGATGTGCGCGCACCCGTTGCCCGACACGCGGCCCGGCATGCGGCAGGTCGTGCAGTACCTGGAGGGCGACACGCCGATGCCCGAGGTGGCGCCGACGTACGTGAGCTACACCATGCTGGCGCTGATGCAGAACGACGGGTTCGACTCGTTCGCCATGTCGTTCCCGTCCACGGTCACGTCGGGCGTCAGCCCCGTCTCCGGCGGGTTCTCTTCGGTGTCCGGCCTCTCCGGCGGAAGGTGAACAAGGGACACGGTCGCTGTCAGAGTAGGCTTTTGCCCGTCTAGCGTTGTTAGTAGGTCTTTCCTGTGACATAATTGTACTGTAACTGTAATTCCAGAGTGGTAAATTTCTCGCCGTACTGATTTTGTACTGGTACTGTTTGTAAAATATTCTCCGAGTGTGACTGTGAAATGCGATTTGCTAGACCGCGAGGCTGGAGCATTCGACGTCACGAGAAACATCAGCATCCCACTGAACATCATCGAAGAAAACTGCGCCGCGGGCTGATTTGCAGATTATGTGAGTACGGTCGCACGTACCGACCGTACCACGGAGACTTTCAGCATGTTCCTTCGTTTGTTTCGGGTTTATCAGTAAGTCAACAGCGTTTTTCTATCATAATAAATTAGTATCAGCTAAATTTATCAGTTCAAAAACTAATCAGCGAACAGAGCCTTTGCTGGTATATAAGCAGGGCACGTAACAGGTAAATATGTCCAACATCATCCTCGTGCTGAGTGGGTTTTTTTTTTCCCAGAGCTCGTACGATTTCACATTTTCTCTCTCTGTGTGTGTCAGTACTAAGAAGCGTGCACGGGCGCAAGATTTCCTACGTATACAATCTGGTGACCCTGAAATCCTGGACCAGGAGCCGTACCGTAATACAGGGCGTCCCTGACTCTGATGTCTTGATAGATTGACAATCGTGACGAAGTTTTGCCTTTGTGTACCATCTCCATCTGACCGAAGCAAAGCAATTCGGCCTGGGCGTTTTTCACCGAAAACCGAACACCGAACCGAATAGTCGGTAGTTCGGTTTTTCGGTTCGGTTTCGGTTTCTAGTTCTGTGAAGTTCGGTGTTCGGCTTCGGCTTCAGCTTCTATGCCATACCAAACCGAAGTACCGAGAGGCATCTCCCACCCCCAGTCTTTGTCTCCCATCCGACTCCCTCTCCCCATCTCTGTCTCCCATCCGACTCCCTTTCCCTCTCCCACCCGATTCCCCATGCGAAAACCCTAATAAATCCAAGCGGCGGTGGCGGCGCGACTGGGAGGCGATCTGGCGAAGTGCGGAAGCTGCGGTGGGCGAGCAGCGGCGGCGCGGCACGACATGAGGCGAGGCGAGCTAGGCTCGGTGGCTGCGCAGTGCGGTTGCTCCACGACGCGACAGCGGTGGCGGCGGTGCCGCACGAGTGGAAGGTGGTGGCGGCGGCGGCGGCGCATCTGCTCATCGTGGCGAAGTTGCGCGCGTTGCGGATGCGAGCGACTACGCAGGGGAGGTAGGCTCGGTTTAAACCGAAAAACAAAAGTAAAAAAACGAAACCGAAATGATCGGTTTCACATTCTCTGATTAACCGATCGACTTCTCATTCTTGAAAACCGAACTTTTGAGGAACCGAAAAAACCGAACCGAAGTATCGGTTTAAACCGAACGCCCAGCCTGAAAAGCAATGGGGATTCAGCAGATAAATAAAAGTCCGCATGTCGCAAAAGATTTTTTGGGTAGATTCTACATACTACTACTGCACATGGGAGACAGGGAGAGCGTACTCTTTCTATCTAGCCATCAACTTATCAACTGAATTTTTTATACACTTACATCATCTTGTAGCTATATTTACACCGCCTTATTACTATATTTACAATAATTTATTTAGTGTAATTTATTGGACAGAGTGATGTAATTTGGGGGATAATACAAGGTCTTAGATAAATATATGCCAAATTTTCAAAAAAAAAATACAAATTTTTTCTATAGATTCTAGATACCAAAGAAATATATATCAACTTATTCACAAATATCGTCAAATTGTTGACAAACTTACAAATTCTCAAATGGAATAACAGAAACGGAGAATATAACTAGTAGGTCAAACCCCATTGCCCATGCAGTGCAAGTACGTCTAAAGACGACGATGAGTCACGCTTGCGTTACGTATGGTACGGAGACTATTTTCTTTCACCGTCATTTCATATGTACTACTGTAGCTCCTCTCTGCCTAGATTGCTTTTGTTTACCTCGACATGACATGCTAGCTAGCTCTACTGCTTGCTCACCAAGACACGCACGAGAGAGGCTCTGACGTGTAGCTGTCCCGAGAGCTCTCTCTCTCTCGCCCTCGGCCAGTCGGAGGACGACACAGGAGTACATGACAGAGGCAATGATACGGCAGGAGGTACTCATTCAACTGTGCAGCTGGACACTGTTTCAAGGGAAAATCAGGCCACGTTTAGTTGCCCCAATTCCAAAATTTGACACTATGCAAAAAGAAGATTCACCGTCACATCAAACTTACGGTATATGCATGGAGTACTAAATGTTGACGAAATTAAAAAATAATTGCACAGTTTGGTTGTACTTTGCGAGACGAACGTTTTGAGCATAATTAGTCAACGATTGAACAATTATTATCCAATAAAACAAAATGGTCCTGTAGCTACAGTACCACTGGAAATTCGGCGGCGCCAATTCGGTGGCCGAAGTAAACGAGGCCTCGGTTGACGAGAAGGCCTGAATCAACCGGTTGATACCGGTTGACAGTTAGCCTTTCTGCTTAAAAAATCCTGCGTCCACATGGTGGGTGGACTGGTTGTCTTGGATTGCGATGCATGGGCACAGGGGTAAACAAACATATCGCTTTTCTTGATTCTTTCGGCGAGATCGCCGAGATGGGAATTGGATCGGGTCATCTGCTGCGCTGCTGCCGTAAAGCAGCCCAGCCCGAAAAGAAACATTGGGCCTTCGTGCGCACCCTAACCGTGCCCTGGGCTCTAGAACCGGGTCACTTTTTGACCGCATAGCGCCATAGCCCAAAGCTCTAGCAAGAAAAGCACGCACGCACGCGGGCGCTTGCATTGCATTGGCACTTTGGCAGGCCGCGAGCAGTTTGGCAGACTCGTGAATCCTCTCCAACTCAAGGCTACGGCACCGCATTCGGCATTCCGCACGCCCCGCGCCGCCCCGAACCGGAGAGGAGTCATGGACGCGTCGGCTTCGAGCCCCTCGAGCAAGAGGTGCGCCGGATGAATCCCCCCCTCCTCGCCCCTTTTGGTCTATATATATGCCACTGAGCATGTAATCCCGTAGCCTTCTTGCCGGCGCAATCAGGATCGCGCTGGTGACCGGAGGGAACAAGGGGATCGGGCTGGAGACGTGCCGGCAGCTGGCGTCCAAGGGGCTCAGGGTCGTCCTGACGGCGAGGGGTTTGGAAGCGGTCGAGCGCATCAGGTGCGCCAGCAGCGACGCCGAGGTTTACTTCCACCAGCTCGATGTCACCGACCCCTCCAGCGCCGCCAGGCTCGCGGAGTTCGTCAGGGATCAATTCGGCAGGCTTGACATCCTGGTACGACAACCTCTTCTCATGCGGCTTAGTGAATTTGGGTAGGTGGAAAAGTGATACTGTTCCGTTAAGATTTAAGGGGTGAGACTGACAGAACTAGCATATGTTTGGGACATTCTGAGCCAGCAGGAACAGATGGGATGTACCATAGGGTTATTTTTGGCTGTACTAACAAAAAATCTTATGACGATGGTTACTGCTTTACTACTATGCATGGCTGTTTGGCTACATTTTGAACATTCTGAGCCAGCTGTAAAATCTATTTTTGGCTGTACTAACCAAAAATCTTATGAGTTCCTGATACAACCATGGATGGCCATTTCAGTTCACAATTCCATAAAACAATGCTTTACAATTCCAGAAAATAAAGGCAGGAATCAAGTTATTACTTGGTTTTCGCATCTCTGAACATTCCTTAAGTTCACTTTAATCTTTGGTTCAAGTGATTCTTTTTTTTTTTTGTATTGTATTGTTTGCAATGCACCACCATGGCACCATCATTTTGTGGCGTTTGTTGTTTGCAGATCAATAATGCGGGAATTTCAGGTGTTGACCGTGATCGAGTTTTGTTTGCCGCAATCAAGGATAAGGTACCCTTAATCTAAAGCAAAATATCACAAAGTACTGCAAATGTGCAGTTTGTGAGCAATTCTCTTGCACTTCTTACATTTCACAATGAGGCACATTAAGGCTAAGGCAATTGTATTTCACAGTTTCAAAGCACCTATACTACTCATTCTGATCTAATATAGCTTGAAGAATAGTTGTTAGGATATAAACATCTTCATTGGACGTTGATAATTCCTAAATTATGCAATTCAGCTACGGCGTTGCTACATCATTTGATTGTTAAATCTTTGTCTGCCCTGACTAACCGTGCACTGATTGCACAATTGTATTGTACCAGAAAAAATAGTTCTAGAATAATTGACATGTCCATGAAACGTAGGTTGATGGCATAGATGTAAATCAGAGAGTTGAATGGATGAGAGAAAATTCAAAAGAAAGATACGATGAAGCTATACAATGTATGAGAACAAACTACTATGGTGCCAAGCTTGTCACAGAGGCACTACTTCCTCTTCTTCAGTTATCCTCCTCTGGAAGAATTGACATGTTTCGTCAGGCTTTGGACTACTGAGAGTAAGTTTTGTAAATCCCAATATAATTAGACAGAAAAGTAAATGATTATCACATCTCATATATAGCATAGTGTTTGCCAGAATATTTTTGCAGTAGCATGGTTGATTGTACCTCCTATTGTAGAGTCTTATTTAATTTTTGGAAGATGGCTGTAGCTTTTTTTTTTTTGGGAAAACATCATTCTTGTTTACATCTACATTCCACATTCTTTTGGTGTTACTTGCTTCTCCATTGTAGCCACTGAACTGTGTTCGATGTTCATTTTTGTCAAATGGTGATAAAAAATTGTTAATAGATATTTCCTTATTGAGTCAGCTCATTTCAAATGTCACAAAATATCATTTCTACTAGGGTTTGCATGCAATGAAATGCTCACTTAGTTTCAGTCTATTGTTACTGAAGATCGTGCCATTCCTTCTTTTTGAGCAGAACTTCAACAGTGAAGACCTTAAGGAGTTTGATGACATTAACAATCTTACTGAAAATAAACTGGAGGAACTGTTGAATAAGTTCCTAGATGATTTTAAGGCCAACTTAGTAGAGTCACATGGGTGGCCAACAGGTGGATCTTCAGCTTATAGAGTTGCCAAAGCGACACTTAATGCATATATCCTACATTGCATATCAACTGTCGGACACCTGGTTATGTCAAGACCGATATTTGTATGCACATGGGAGTATTGACACTTGAAGAGGGTCCCCGCAACCCTGTGAAGGTTGCTCTCCTGCCTGACGATGGACCAACCGGTGCTTATTTTGATTTGAATGGCGATGCGTCCTTTGTGTGATCATGTTGTATGATCATATTTCTTTTATTCCTTAGCTTCTGACTAATGCGGACGTCTTTTGTATGATCTCTCTGAGATGTTTGCATATTATAATTGGTGTCGTGTTCGAGGTGTGGGTGGTATTTAGATGTCTGGGAATACTGCAGACACCAGAAGTTATAAAAAATAATTGCAATGGACAATGCCAATGGGGGCGATGGGTACCATCTCCATCTGACAGTAGCAAGTGAGGATCCAGCGGATTTAGCTCTACATGTTGCAATTGATTTTCAGGGAAACTCTACAGACTACAGAACGTCGAGCATGTGCTGGATGCTTGATGGCCAAGCTAAGCGATCCCTCGCGAAACAGCGCTGCTCACTTCACAAAAAGGGAAAGAAAAAAAACAAGTACAGTCTGATGGGATAAGTCTCATGTGTTGGTTGGTCTTTGTGGGGCTGTGCTCGTCACATGGTTCTTGTGGCTGTATGGTCTTTTTTAGGACAGCATCTTAGACTAGAGGACATCATCTTAGCATCTAGGACATCATGTTAGACTAGCATCTTGGCATATACTTAAGCATCTAGGACAGCATCTAAGACTAGCATATTAGACTAGCATCTTGGCATATGTTTGGCTGGCTAGCAGCCTTTAAATATGTACCCCTAACCCCTTAGGTTGGTATGATATTTGTGTGAGAAATAAATCAGAAAATTATCTCAACTCCTAGTGTCATCTTCTCTCAATGAGAGTAAGAATTCTGCTACTACCAAGAGTAAGAATTCAGCGACTAACAAGTGGTATCAGAGACGTATTATCCTGTAGCTTGAGCGTCTCCTGCTCATCTTCTTTCCCAGCCTCGCAACAGCCCCAGCTAGGAGCAGCAGCAGCTCCGGCCGCTCCTGCTCACTCCTCTCCCTCTGCGGTCTGAAGCAGCCCTCTCCCCACGCAGCAGCCCCCCGGTAGCGCGTCATGTCAGCAGGGTAGTCTCAGCGCTCGGTCACCTCGAGCACGCTGCGTCGGTAGGAGGTCGAACTTGTCGCGGCAGAGGAACGCGAGCGAGCGGCGGCAGAGACCGCTGCGGCGGCGGCAAGGGCGTCGAGGCTGGCAGCGGCGGAGCTGGCAGCAGCCAGAGCAGAGGTGGAAGCAGCGGCGGCGGCGGATGCAGTGCGTGCGGCAGCAGCAGAGGTCGAGGCTCTGCGCGGCAGCATCAGCAGCTCCGTTTCTGTTGACGACAGCGCCGACGCGGACATTGAGTTGCTAGGGAGGGAGGCAGGACGAGCGCGGGCGGCGCAGTGGGCAGCCGCACACGCCCATGAGCGCGGCAGCAGCCCAGACAGGCGCGGACGCGCCGGGGGCGCTCCTGGAGGAGGCGCGCACGGCGGCGGTGCTCCTGGAGGAGGCGCGCACGGTGACGGTGGCGGACGAGTTGATGGAGAGTGCGGCTCTCACAGGCAGCGTGGCTCTCTCTTCCCGGATCGATACCGTGGTTACCATGGGCTCCAGGCTATCGTCCGGGACGTCGGTCCCGGCGGTGGGTGGCCTACCCTCACTAAGACCAACTACGTTGAGTGGGCTACGATGATGAGGGTAAAGCTCCAGGTGCGGCACATGTGGGAGGCAGTCCGGTACAGCGACGTCAACTACGACCTAGATCGATGGGCGCTGGATGCCCTCATCGCTGTAGTCCCGCCCAAGATGCAGTTCTCGGTTACCAACAAGCGGACTGCCAAGGAGGCTTGGGACGCCATCGCTGCGGCACGCATCGGCAGCGACCACGCCCGCAAGTCCACACTGTAGGCACTTCGCAAGGAGTGGGAGAACTTGGCCTTCAAGCCAGATGAGGACGTTGATGACTTTGCTCTCAGTCTCAACACTCTGTTGCAGAAGATGGTGCAGTTTGGCGATGACACCTACGGCGAGGAGAGAGCTGTCGAAAAGCTCTTTCGCTGGGTCCCCGAGAAGTACAAGCAGATGGCTCGCTTGATCGAGTCTCTGCTGGATCTCTCCATGATGTCGATCGAGGAGGCGATAGGTCGCCTCAACGTCATCGACAGCGATGAGCCACAGTCTCTCTCGGGGCCCATCACCACTGGCGGGAAGCTCCTTCTCACTCAGGAGCAGTGGCTTGCCAGCCAAGGTGACCGGAAGAAGGGGGAGCCTTCTTCCGCGACAGGCGTCCGCAAGCGTGGCAAGCCACGCAAGGCGCGCAGAGACGCCCAGGCCGGGGCGCGAGGACGTGCCGAGGGTGATGCCCGCGGAGGCGCCCAGGGCGGCGCCGCCGGTAGGCACGAGACGACACCTGCCACAACTGCGGCCAGCTTGGCCATTAGGCCAAGGACTATCGACAGCCACAACGCGGCCTGGCCCACGTCGCACAGGCGGAGGAGGAGGAGCCGGCTCTGTTCATGGCACATGCAAGCATCGAGCTACCTCCGGTTGCACCGACCGCAGCAGCCCTCCTCCACCTTGACGAGCCAAAAGCACACGCCCTCCTCGGTGACGGCTCCAGCAACGACAAGACTGATGGGTGGTGCCTCGACACCGATGCCACCCATCACATGACCGGTCGACGGGAGTTCTTCACCGAGCTTGACTCTAGCGTCCGAGGCTCCGTCAAGTTTGGGGATGCCTCTGCCGTGGAGATCAAGGGCGTCGGCTCCGTCATCTTCACCGCCGTGTCTGGTGAGCACAGACTGCTCACCGAAGTCTACTACATCCCCACGTTGAGGAACTCTATCATCACCTTGGGACAGCTGGATGAGAACGATTCGTGCGTGGTGGTTGAGGATGGAGTCATGAGGATTTGGGATCGTCGTCGTCGCCTTCTTGCCAAGGTATCCAAAAGCGGAAATCGACTCTACGTCCTTAATGTGCAGGTGGCACAATCCCTCTGTCTCGCTACTTGTCGGGACGACAAGGCATGGCAGTGGCACGAGCATTTCGGGCACCTTCACTTCGAGGCCCTGAAGCGGCTCAGTGCCACGGAGATGGTGCGAGGCCTGTCGTGCCTCGACCATGTGGAGCAGCTCTGCGATGTCTGCGTGTTGACGAAGCAGAGGCGACTCCCCTTTCCCCAGCGGGCGAGCTTTCGAGCCAAGGAGAGGCTCAAGCTTGTGCACGGGGATTTGTGTGGCCCGGTGACACCGGCCACACCGGGAGGACGACGCTACTTCCTGCTGCTCGTCGACGACCTCTCCCGCTACATGTGGGTGATGGTCCTCGGCAGCAAGGGAGAGGCTACGGACGCCATCAGGCGCTCGTAGGCTGCTGTGGAGGCGGAGTGCGGCCACAAGCTGCGCGTGCTGTGCACCGACAACGACGGCGAATTCAGGGCGGTTGAATTTGCGTCGTACTGCGCTGATGAGGGCATTCAGCGCCACTACTCCACGCCGTACAGCCCACAGCAGAACGGCATCGTCGAGCGGCGCAACCAGACGATTGTGGGGATGGCTCGGGCCCTTCTCAAGCAGAGGGGGATGCCGACTGTCTTCTAGGGAGAGGCGGTGGTGTCGGCCGTCTACATCCTCAACCGCTCACCTACCAAGGCGCTCGATGGCAGGACGCCGTACGAGACTTGACATGGGCGCAAGCCGGCGGTCTCCCACTTGCGGGTTTTCGGCTGCCTCGCGTTCGCCAAGGAGCTTGGCCACATCAGTAAGCTCAATGACAGGAGCACTCCGGGAGTGTTCATCGGCTACGCGGAGGGCTCGAAGGCCTACCGCATCCTCGACCCGAAGACACAGCGTGTGCGCACGGCGCGCGACGTTGTGTTTGACGAAGGGCGAGGATGGGCGTGGGACAAGGCGGTGGACGATGGCTCGGCTCCGACGTACGACAACTTCACTGTCGAGTACGTCCACTTCGAGGGAGCTAGAGGAGTAGGCAGCTCTTCTTCAACGAGCGCGTCTACCCCAGTCCCCGAGCCTCCACCGACCCCGGCACTCGCTACTCCGACAGCACCACGCTCTCCAGCCAGGACCTCGGCTGCGATGAGTTCTTCGTCGGCTCCACCACAGCCGGCGCCACCACGCACTCCAACACCGACAGGCACCTCTCCGGGCACGTCTACTCCAACACCAGCTCATGTCGAGCACAGCCCGGTTGAGCTCGCTACTTCGCTCTCTCACGACGAGGAGCACATCGACGCGTACCACGACGGCGAGCCGTTGCGGTACCATACGATGGAGAACCTTCTCGGCGACCAGCTGGTGCCGGGACCGGTGCCTCA